TCTCTGTCTCTCCGTGGCTGCCCCCGGTCACCCCCCTCAGTTGGCCTGTGATGAAACGGGAATTTGGGCAAAAATCCCCAAATAAAGTTGCTGCTGGAGGTCCTTTCTCCGCCGGGTCCCTCCTGGGGGCCAAGGATTGTGTCGTCCCCCCCCACCTCAGGGCAGCACCCCCGAGGGATGAAGGGGGAGGAGGAGGGGTGGGGAGGAAGGTGGGACCTGGGCAAGGGGGTGTCTTGGGGGGGGAATGGAGGGGAAGAGCATGAAATCCAGGCTCGGAGGGGGGGGGTTGGATCCTGCTGCCGTGGCACCGGGGAGGGGGACCGTGGATTGGGCACAGAAATGGCCTCGCCGGGTGGGTGCCAGCCCCGTTTGGGTTGAGGTTGCCCCTTTTTTTGTCCAACCCCCAGCCCTTGGCTCCAGCCACCCCATTGCAGCGTGTCCCTGGGGCACCCTCATCGTCCCCGTCCCGGCCAGACCCACCCATGGCCACCTCTCTTTGTGTCTGGTGGTGGCTGTCCCCAGCTCGGTGACAATTCTTACCCGACGCTGCCAAGCGTCCCCCCTCCCCTCCGCCATCTGCCCGCATCCAGACGTGGTGCCAAGGGGTGATGTCACCCCCAAAGGAGGGTGCAGGATGGGGGGAGGACGCTGCCACCAGCACCCCAAAGGGACAGGGCTTGAGCCAAGCGTCCCTGGGGGCTCGCTGCCATCAGAGGTGACGTTGGCACGGGCACAGGGGGTGAGGAGCTCATTTGGGCTCACGGAGGCACTTCGGGGCTTGGTAGCTCCATTTTGTTCCAGGTTTTCCAGCTTTTGTACAATTTTTGCTGGAATGAAGTCATGGGAAGGGTGAACTGTGGCCGGGACTGGCACCCAGGGCTCGGGGAGGTGGGACCTCGCTGCCACCGGGACAGGGGCCTCCAGCCAGTGCAGGGGAGCTGACACTCTCTTTTGCTCTAATGAACCCCAAAAAGCATTGCTCAAGGCATGAGGGGTGGGAGAAGGAGGTCACGGCCCCCCCCACCCCATATTCAGCCCCATTCCCACCCACCCCCTCCCAAAACCCGCACAGACAGAATCCCAGAGCAGACACCGAGTTTCTTAAGTAATAATACTTTAATAAAATTAAGTTCTTAATGTAATTTAGCACATTTAATACATTAACCCTTTCCCTTCTTTGTTTTCTACAAGTTGTGCAACATCATTATTTTAATTTTTTATTTTATTTTAATTTTTTTTTTTCCTTCTCCCCTTATACTATATGCCTCAAAACTCAGACAACGAGCCTAACTCTACTTCTATGTTCGGTTACATCTCTCTCTCAGGCCCTTTCTTTTCGCGTTAACGCCGGAGAGATGAAAATACCTGGATGGAACATGTGATCGGTTTCCAATAGTAACAATCCCGACTACAGGTTTCCTATGACGTTAAAAGAAAAAGAGAGAGAAAAAAAAAAAAAAAGAGGAAGAAGAAGAAAAAAAAAAAAAAAGAAAGAAAAACAAACACAACGTAAGAGGGAATGGACTTTAAATGGAAGGGCCACACAGTCAGGAGGACCGGGCTAACGCCGGGTACTCTGGCTCAGCGCGAGGGGGGTGGTACCGTGGAGGAGGACCCTGTGCTTGCACCCGGATCCGGGGAAAGCGGATACACCCAAACTTGTACAGGGATTTTTTTATTTTTTTATTTTTTTTTGGAGAGCAGACGAGAGAAAGCTGCAATGGTGCTGGGTCGAGGAAAAGCCATGAGGGGCTGCAGTCCCCTGGAAGCCACCGGGTACGGCCAAGCTGGGCTGCTGAGGGTCTCCAGCGGCTGGGGCTCACGCCTTCCAAGGGAAATCCCACCGGAGCTGCTCTGCCGGAGTCACAGAATCTCAGAATCCCGAGCAGCCGGAGCCTGGATGGCTCTGACAGCGGGGCAGAGCCGGAGGAAACCCTCAGCCGCGCAGCCGGGTACCCGGGGGCTGCTCCGGGCATCCCTGGGGAGTCCCCTGGAGCTGGGATCGGGGTCGGCTCCGCGACACGGCAGCGTGAGCGGGTCCCACGGCCCCGACAGACCCACCAGGTCGGGGCTCATCGGCGCTCGTGGCCCTGCCTTTCACATCTGCTGAACTCTGCTGCCAGCCCAGGAGCAAACAGTTACAAAACCGGACCTGGCTCCTGATATGTTTTTTTTTTTTCTCCTTTTTTTATGATTATCTCGGACAGAATTCATAAGAAAAAAGGACAAAAAAAAAGAGATGTATTGATCGTTTCACAGACGAGCAAAGCAGCCTGTGACCGTGTCTCTCCGTCCCAGCCCCCGGGAGCCCAAAGAAGGTCCCTGTGGCCACCCAGCTCTCTCTCGCCGCTCCGTTTCTCTGCAAGTTGTTTCCAAAGCACCATCACAAGCCCAGGAGAACACGTTCTGCCGTCAGCTGCCCCGGTAAAACGGTGCCACCGCCGGAGGGTGACTTCATTTGGTTTTTGAACCCCTGCGCAGCCACCAGCGGACCCACTCCAGGTTTGACATTAGTGTCACTTTACTGGGGGAGGGGGGGGTGACTTTCAATTTGCTCCGTTGGCAGCCCCGGGGTGACGCTGGAGTGGAGACAGCGTTGACACCGAGCCCACGGGGGCTGGAGCGACCTCCCATTCCAGCAGAGTAACCCCATTGAAACGGGGGAGCTCCAGGGGGAGGGAAGGCAGGAACCCCCCGACCCCCACCATCTCCAGCCAGCACTGAAATCAGCCCGGCGCCGTCACGGCGGAATTCTCCACCGGGTCAACTGACAGCAGAACGTGCCTTGGAGTTTCTACAGTACGTGAAAACCCACAAGAAAATACAGAGATTGCTCCCTAACATCCTAGAAAGGGTTTTTGGAAGAACCAGCCCCATCCTGGCTCTGGCCCCGCCAGTGCTGCCGCCGAGGAATCCCGGCCGCGGGCTCGGCGGAGGCGGGAGGGGACCCTAGATACAAGTTCCTATAAAGTGCATCCTCTCTCCAGCCCAGGGCGTCACTGTACGATGGCCACCACTGACTCATCTTCAAGTATTCAAACAAAAAAAAAAACAACAAATGAGGTAAAACAAAAATGAAAGAGCAAACAGGCCGCCTCGCCGGCCCTGCCCGGGAAGGACCAAGCACGAACCCCTCCGAGAGCACGGGGAGGGGAGAGGGGGGGGCACCGAGCCCCCCGGGAGCATCCCGTGGGGCGAGCTCTGATTCACAGTGCTATCCGCAGAAACCGAGTGAGAACTGTCTTCGCTTTCCTGTCCTGCCCTAACTGCATGGCTTTGCTGAAGGAATGCTGGTGGAGCCTTCGGGGAGAGAGGGAGGGAGGGAGGGAGCGCGGGGCGGCCGCCGGCGCTTCTCCGAGGCTTTGGGATCCGTCCGGATGCTCCCGAGCTGCAGGACATCCCTGGGTTGGCCAGGGCTGAGCCACGGCGCGGAGGACAGGAGCGAGAGCTCAACCCAAGAGGTAAAACCACCTTCTCGAGAGCGTTCTCTGCTTCCCGAGTAATAACGGAGTTGACGCGGGGTCATTTATTTTCAAGCTATAGCCTCTAAATGGTGATTTTGGCGCAGCCAGAAGCAGCCACCGACGCTCCGGAGAAAAGGGCTGGCCTGGCCCTGAGGTGGAAGGACCAGGGTTTCACCTGGGGGGGACATATCCTGCCCCACCGCCAGTGCCGGGGCTGCACCCCCTTTGCCCCCAACCCCCCGAACCCCATCTGCCAGCAGTGCCAACAGACCCCCCGTCCGGCCCCCGCATCCCGAGGCTGCTCCGTCGGACGGGGAACCGGGTGCCAACACCCTCCAGCCTCCTCCTCCTCGGCTGCCACAGCCAAAAAGCAGGCGCTCGTGGTGAAATGTCACTGTCCCCAGAGGTGACAGCGCGGGGATGAGGGATGCCGAGGCCCGGCACGGCCGCAGGAAGGATGTCCCAGGCCAGCAGAACTTTTTGCCAACACTTCACCCGCGGCTCCGGGGCTCTTGAGGCTGAACAAGAGCATCCGGCGCAGAAAAACCACCCAAAAAAAAGGCAAACCCAGCATCCCCGAGAGACGCCGGTCGCTGAACAAGTCGCTCACCCCGAGGCGCGCGCGTCCCTGGTGCCATGATTTGGTGGGTGAAGAGATAACCACAAAAAAAAAAAAAAGAAAAGAAAAAAAAGAAAAAAATTAAAATAAAAAGAGGGAACAAACCAAACCCTAACATCCTGTGTCTCTGCCCGGCTCCGGGGACAGAAAGCCTAATTCCTGCGGCGCCGGAGGAGCCCCGCGCCGTCGCCCCAGCACCTTCCAGCTCTGTCCGTCACCTTACAGAGGGGAGTTTGTCCAATTGTCCTTTCCTTCGCCTTCTCACCCCAGGGGGGGAGCCCCTGCCGCGGGACATCCTCCCCCCCAACCCCAGACCTTCACCAAGCGAGAACGGCACCAGAAAAGCCACTTTTAACCTGTCCTTTTCTGAAATTTCACCCTCCGGGGCCGGAGGTCAGAATAAGGCAAAAATAACAGCCTAAAACTTTCTCCTTTTGTTCAGTGACCAGCCAAATCTTTATACTTTTATTAAAAAAGCAACATAAAAACCCAAACGTATCTTTTTTAAAAAAATACATATTATTAGATCCTTTTTTTTTTTTTTTGTCTTTTTTCCCCTCTATAAAAATAACTTCAGGACTTTGATTGACAGAAGGTACCAGTGGGTGGTCTGTTATTTCGTTAGGCTTTCGGTCGTTTCTTTGTTTGCTTCAGAAAAATAGTACCAAAACAAGATGGAATTTCTGGGGAAGTTAAAAATGATCTCGTTTACAGGTTTATTTTACATTCTGCTCTGTCTGGGATCACTTGGATCTACTATAGATTAAACAATATGGATAGCATCTACTATTTGAACTAGTTAATTTTCTTTTAATCTTTACTCTAGGATTATATGAAATAAATTTGAATGTT